TTGTTTTACTGTTTTTAAAACTATTAGGAATATCTTCTCTATATATACAATTTCATGAAAAATATCAAGCATATGTAAAAAACTAAGAATCACTGAGATTGATGAGTATATGATAGATAATGTAGCAACTGAAGAATTAAAACTTTGTGTTAGTATTAAATAAATCAGTGCAGAACCTTGATTAGATGGAAATTGAGAACAGAAATAAAATGAACAGCTTGCTTCTTTAAAAAAAACGAAAAGGAAATGAGGCACTTGTAATTAAGGGAAGTAATATTTTATAGAATGCATATATTCATTTCTTCAAGTGGTCAGTACTTAGAATTCTTATTTTTACAGATTCTCCAGTTGCGTCATTTACACTTATATGTTATGTGCTACACATATATATCTTTTAACCAGCAGCTTCTTCAAGATTGAATTTAAATCTAGTGAGGATAGACTCTGAACTCTTGAGAATAGACTCAGGACTTATAACAAGAGACTGTAATGCAAATCTAGAAATTATAGCACCCCTATGCATACAACCAAAAGTATGGATCCGGAATGTAGACAACACCTTTGTCATAATATAAAAGTAATAACTAGAGAAGACACATGAAACAACCAACATCTTCAAAGGCATAAAATTCATAAGGGAAGAAGAAAGCAACAACACACTACCCTTCCTGGATATTTCTATCAGCAGAGGAAGTACCAGCAAATCTTCTATTCTACATCTCTCTAGTGTAAAATTCCCCACATCTATGGTAAAACTACCCACATGAACCAAGTGCTCTACTACCAAAATCACAACTCAATTTTCTATAAGAGGAACTGTGTAAGAATATTATTCAGGCACTGCAGCAATCCATAACACTAGAAAAAGGAAGCAATTTCCTATACAACACCTTCCAAAAAAATGGTTACCCACACAACTTTATCAGAAAATGCCTGTCCATTCAACTCACTACAGCACAACAAGCACAAGCTACAAAAAGGATAACTTCATACATCAAAATCATCTTAAAAAGAACCAAAAGACTATTATAACCACCCAGCACCAGAAACCAACCAAAGCCGTCCAAAACATCAACATTCAAGATCCAATGAAAACTCCTTAATTTCACAATAAATGGGTAGTACTAGCCATAGTTTCAACTGGAACACTGTGAGCATCCTAAACAGTAGAGAGTTCCTGGAAGTTTGACCCTCAAACAAATTAGCCAACAACAGGCACAATGAGCAACATTTAAACAGCATTCAAAAACAATAAGAAAGCTAAAAAAGAAACAATAAGACAGAATACCTCCTCACCAGCAATCAGTACCTAGATAATCAGAACTTAACATCAGGATTAAGACAAACTCACAATGAAACAGTAAACAACAACCTAATCAAGGAACTAGCAAGGAGAAAACAACAGCCCTATCAATACTGACAGGACAAGCTACTGTATATAAACTTCCTTCTAGAAGATGTTACCTAGTTAGGTAATGAAATGTCTGCAAGCAACCAAACTCAGAGAGTAACAAGGACTGCACCGGATAAGCAATAATAAGTTTTATTAGACCTTACCAAATGTTTAATATACTGTACTCACAGGTGCTGACAGTAATTTAATACTTAAAGGTGTTTGTAAAGTCTATAAAATTATTATGCTTCTTACTGAAATAGTCTGTCAGACATTCAGGCCAGAAATGTAACACTTTATTGATAGACTCTACTTCACAGAATGCAGTGTGTAAATGATCTGGTAATCAGTAAAACTGTCTTATGTTTGTGTGAAATGTAGTTTAGACAAAAGACCAGTTACAGCATTACATAGGTCCTGGAAGTCACTGGATAAGAGTAAATTTGGGTATTTTTAAATGCATTTAAACAAATATACGGTACTTGTCAGGCACAAGCAACCAGAACAAACCTGTGAAAAGCCAAACAATTCCTTTACTGTTGAACATTATTTACAAGAATCTTGCCAAACTGACTGTCTTCCCTTGGGAAAAGGCAAATATAGTCCTAAAGGTTTGATATCAGAGATTTCCCCCCAAAATCAACTCCATGCTGGAATGTCTCTTTTCTCTCCCTAGAGGTGCCTCCTCTCCTTCAGTTTTCACCACAGTACTTTTATATATTTGTTTACTTGATTTCCTGTTGCCTTTCTGTTAGCATAAAATATTTTATGTGGCTTGTAATATGAAACATACACACACACAAATAAGTAAAAAAAATGAAATTAAAAACAAATACATTAAATATATATAATATATTCATTGAACATTCAACACATGATCAGAGCAATTTCCTAAAAGGTAGGAGAAGGCAACACATTCCCCAAGAGAATGCATTTTGCAGCTAAGATTAATATGCAAAAACCACAATTTATTTTTAAATTACAGTATTCCATTTCATTTCCAGGCTTACCACTTAAGTTTTAAAATAGATTTTCTAATAAACTGATAAATCCTGAATTACGTTCCATCTCCAGGAATGTACTTAATGTCTTATGGTAAATTAAGAAAAATTCCTAAATCCTGGACCCTTCATCTCAATCATGACCAGAATTCTTTTAACTGGGTTTAGAAGACAAAGCCTTGCATTCATTTTGTCTTGTATGTCTTTCCCCTATTTGCTCCAGTTTCGGTTTTGACGTCACGGAAAGACAGATGTAGGGAAGCAGGGCTCTGCCTCCTGCGCTGATTTCTTCCTGCTGGGGACCCGAAAAGGGCCTAAAGTTGGCCCGGAGAGGCGACAAAGTAAGAGGGGACCCTTATAGATCGCGGGGAGACAGCGGTTGACCCACTTGATCCAAGGAAGCCCTCAGAACCAACAGGAGAAAGACTGGCCACACCCAGACTGCTGACCTTCGAAGAAAAAAGCGGCATCTAACAAGTGCAAGCAACATGTTTGAATCTGGGCGAGATTATTTTCCTTCCTCTACAATTTTAAAACCTGTTCTTGGGGGGGGGGAAGTGACCTGAAAGCAAGGAAACTCCCAGAACTAAAGGGGGGTTCCTTTTTTTAACCCCTTCTCCCAGAATAAAAGCAGTGGTTTAAGCTTTCTTGGGGGGAAATAGAGAAGACTATAAAATTAATTTGGACACAGCAGAGAGACTTAATGTTGGAAAAAGTCTGGGAAGTTATAATACTTTATAATAATACTTTGGGGCAACTGCTCTGGAAGTGAGCCTCACAAACAGAAGTGGATTACAAATCTTTTTTTCCCCTCCCTTTTCTTTCAGGGAGTTTATTGGATTACAGAGATTATAGACAAGAACTATAAGAGTTATTTAAGACAAATTTGAATGATATATTGTGGTACTGAATATAAGATTAATGGTTTTGTATAAGATGGGCATTTGGGAAAAGTATTAGAGCTGATAAAAGATTTGGGGGGTGGAAACAAAAATGAGTGTTTCAAATTTAGCTAAAACTGGCAAAAAAACACCCTCAGCCCCATCCTCCACCTCTGCAAGCCCTGTGTATCAGAGATCAATTGAATCAATGCTTCAACAAGAAAAATCTAACAACTTTCAGAAGGAGATGCAAGCGGCATTACAAGCAATCCAAGAGGCAATCTCCTCTCACAAAGAAGATACAAGGAAAAATCATGAAGAGACAAAAGACAATTTTGATGAAACGAATCAAAAAATTCATAACATAAACTCTCAATTAGAAAGCTTCTGACAGATGGTTATAAAGAATGAACAAAGAATTCAGAAAATAGAAGACAAGTCAGTAGAGACTGATCAGAAGATGGAAGAAATAAAAGATGAAAATCAGAGGTTAGTGCAGGCAAATAGAGAATTGGAAGATTCAATGGCAGTTTTGGAAATGGAAAAGGCATCTTATTTTTTAAGATTTCAAAACATAATGGAGGATAAGGAAGAGGACTTTGCAGACTTGATGATAGAGCTAATATAAACAAGTTTATTAAAGCACAAATATAATGTAATTTTTTTCTGCTGGATGGAATACAAAATGAAATCAGTATAGAAAAGAAGAGGATGAGGCAGCTACTGTAACCAAGATTTAGAACTAAGGATGTAAATTAAAGTTAGACATAATACAAACTAATGACACCACGTTTATAATCTGTTAAATCAGACTCCTCATTCAGTTAGAACTATTTGCTCTTCACTAGAATTATTTAGTCCAATTTTTCATGCAACATATTTTCTGGCAGTGGGATAAGCCAAATTCTTCATATTTCAACAACCTTTCATTTTACAAATACACTCTTACCCTGCTGATCTTTGGCTATCATGACCCTAGTACAGTAAATGCTGCAAGGAATTTTATCCTCCAGTCAGATACCAATTTTTGCATTCCCTCACTGGTCAGGTGGAGGTTGGCTTATGAAAAATACTAAGCATTGTGAGGAGGCAAAAATGGTGAAGGAAATAAATCTAAGACAAGGGTGATATGCAAATATACACATTTTGAATATTATTTTTGGAAAAGGCGTTTTCATTATGCATAGAAAAGAATGTAAGACTTAAGAAATGTTTACTTCTCATTCTAATTCAAATGAATTAGCACTGATGAATGATTAATGGAAAGCCTCCAGACGATGAGGGATTTTATCAAACAAATTTTTAAAATACTATTGGTAGATATTTTCAGACAACTTATACAGCAAGAATTAAAAACAAATAACTGTTAAGAATAAAACTTCGATATATGTGTTTGTATATATACTTAGTTAATTTTTAAGCCATATAAAATATTTAACTATGAGTGTTAGAGAAATTAAATGTACTACTTAATTTCTTATATAAAATAGGTAGTTCTTGTTTGTGACTTCTTTGTTCAATGACTGTTTGAATTTATGACAATGATGCAAAACTTTACAACCAATCCTTGAATTTACTATTTCTGCAGGTCTGCAAAGCAAAGAAAAGACAGTTGCAGTTTCACTTGCCTGTTCCAATTGTGATCGATAAATGAGGACTACCTGTATTGGTCTGGATTTTAGCTTTCATAGCACCTATAGTGTTAAACTTCAATCTTTCATTTACCTGGTATGTTGTTTTCTTCAATGCTGTCCTCAACAGACAGAGTGGAGCAGTTGGCTGGACTAACTGGAGAGCTGGAATTAAAGCTTGCGTATCTTACAGAGGAGTTGATTTCAAAATAGTCATGGCTCTGATTTAATCGATGAAATTCAAAAGCTGATACTATTGATGTACGTTGCTTGGGCTGGAAAAATAAATTAATTAAAATGTAGACACTACTTTATTCTTTTTTACAAATACAGCTCACTGTCTCTATTCAGTTTTTAAAAGCAGATGCTAAAAAATGTTACCAACTTCTTTAAATGCACCCAGAATAAGAAATGTATTATAATCAGAAATACAAAATCAAAGTAGCATTATACATTGTTCTACAAAAACAACCTGAATGCCAATTAAAAAATATCAAACTCTTGGGAGGTATCAAAATATTTATTTATAAAATAACTATTCCATTTTCTATCACCAAAGTTGCACTGGAAATTATATACAGTAATGAAAAGAAAGGTTAATATTAGCAGTTTCAAAATTGTTCTAAACTTTAAAAGACAACATGGGAAAATAAACATAAGAAAATCCCTGATGGATCAGGGATCAGCCAATGACCCAAATAAATCAGCATTATCCGGTTTCTTCTTGGATAGTGGATATTTAACACATTCAACTTACAATTCAAACTGTAGCATATAACCATCAAAACTATAAAACATTGGGTTTTTTCCATAACTTAAAGCAATCTTATTTTTAAAACAATGAATTGATAGTTATAACCACATTTGCAGTGGAAGTACTAATAATGAAGCTAATGCTTAAATAATTTGGACACACAAAGTTAAAAAGAAAGTAAGGAAGATACATGTCCCTGGAAAACTGGAAGGCAATTAAAAAAGAGGCTAACAGAAGACAAGGTTACTACTAGTATTATGACTGATGACATAAAATGAACTCACAATAACCCAAAACAACCACAGTTATAAAAACTTTACAATTTGGATGAAATGATTGGATCATGGTGAATGAAAAGCAACCAAACAACAGAACCACATCAATGGCAACAAATTCCATAGTTTGACAATTAATGTAAGTTTATTTTCAATTGTTCATTCTGAAGAAGCCTAGAATAATACATTAAAAGGAACAATAAAAAAGCAATAATTTTATTAAAATATCAACCACAAAATATCTATCATAAAATAAGATAATACAAAAATTAAAACATGTATGTATATATGTATTAAACAAACACATCTTAAAACTCTGATTGATCCTGAAATTAAAAGGTTTCATTGTCATATGCTTAATGTTAGTCATTCTTTATAATCTTGGAAACTGCAAGTGAAATTTTCAGCCCACACTTATTGTGAATTCAATTTATTTATTTATTTAGCAGATTTAGATAGCCACCCATCACACAAAAGATTACTCTGGGCAGCAATGGCAATAGAATCATAGCAATAAAAAACCATGACATACTCAGATGAAAAAGAAAATATAAAACCCAAGATGTCAGGAAAATAACAGTCACTTCACATCATATAGCCACCTTGCAGGCTCACCATAGTCAAAGATTAAAACCAGCATCTTGAATTGCACCTGGAAGCAAATGCAATTTGCAATGCAATTTGTAGACAGAGTGTAACATGTGCCATCCTGGGGCACACACAAAACTGTCTAAATAGCCGCATATTGCATAAATTGAAGCTTATGGATACTCGTCAAGGGCAGCCCTATGTGGAATGCATTACAGTAAACCATTCTGGATTTGAACAGAGTATGAGTAACTGTAAGTAGAGCTTTATGCTCCAGGAAGAGGCACAACTGGTGCACAACATAAAGTTGTGCAAACACCCTCTTAAATAAGACTTCTGACTGCTTCACAAGCGTCAGCTCTGTCTGAGGCAGTGTCACCCCATCCAATTCCCAGATTCCAGAAGACCCAAAAATCCAAAGCCTTGTCAGGATTCAGCTGAAGCCTGTTGTTTCCCATTCAGATCCTCACAGTCTCCAGACACTGATGCAGGACTTTAACACTGCTTAGTTTGCCAGGGGAAGAGATATACAGCTAGGTATCATCAGTACACTGATGATTCCTCACCCTACAACAGCAAATGAACTCACCCAGGGACTTCATGTACATTTTAGATAGGTATGGAGAGAGTACTGAACTCCATGGAACCCCACATAATATGGGCCAAAGGCAAGACTTCTAACTCGCAAACACCGACAGGCACTGGCCCTGCAGAAAGGAAGCAAACTAGTACAATACTGTACTTCCCACTCACAATCATGGAGCCAATCCAGAAAGATACCATGGTTAATGGTATCAAAGGCTGCTTAGAGGCTCCTGAGAGCTAGGATAGATGCAATACTCCATTCTGCTAGTGCCATAGATCATCCAAAAGTGCTGCCAATGATGTCTCCATTCCATGCCCAGGTCTTAGTACTGATTGAAAAGGGCCAAATAACCCATTTCATTCAAGGTCTGCTGAAGCTGCTCTTCAACCACCCTCTCACAGCTTTCCCTAGGGAGACTAGACACCAGACAAAGGTTGCTTAGTATGGTGGAATCCAGCAGTGGTTTTTTGAAAAGGAGGCAAACCAAGGTCTTCTTAAGGGGCAGTAGAACAACTGTGGAATTAACCTCCACCAGAGTCTAACTACACAATACCCCCAGGCAGACTTAATTAGCCAGGAGAGTCTAAAACAGAGCTTTTTTAATGGTTTGAAACTCTTCCCAGGTTTCTTGCTACTTTGCCTGAATTTTATTTTGGCTTTTAAATATGTTCTCCCTTCCATTAATTTCTCAGCATCTTCATAATCTCCAATACATTTTTCATTCTTACTTAAAACAACATTGTCTGTAGACCAGTTGTATTTTCCTTGCTCGCCCGTTACTTGTGTGGTCTGGTTTCCAACAGGCTGCAGACCAGTACTGGTCCACAGTCCAGAGGTTGGGGACCCCTGCACTATATAACAGCAGTCCCCAATCTTTCTGGCACCAGGGACTGTTTTCGGAAGAAAAATTGTCCCCCACATTTAGTTTCAGTATAGCACTCTAAATTTTAACATAGTAATGCAGAAAAGCATTCTCTACCTCTGTTTGTGTGTGTGTGTGTGTGTGTGTGTGTGTGCTTCCATGTCTCTCCTTATATGGTGTCCCTTCAGTCTAGCCTACTGCATTGGATATGTATCAAAATAATTTGATTTTTTAAACAACGAGTAATCTTCAAGGTTGATAGTGAGGTCCTTATTTCATTAATTCATTATTCTTTCAAAAATATTGAATGATATACTTGAATAATGTTCTCTAAGAGAATCCAGTGGGAATCTTGTCACTGACTTCAATTAAGTCCAGACATTGATTTAGTAAAGAATTAATCAAAGAGCATGCTATTCAATGCTCTCCATCATCTGTTAACAATTCCATGTTGAAAATAGCACTTAAAAGATGTATCTCATAACAGCTTGTTCTAACAATAATTTTGATGCTTCATTTTTATGCTTGCCAGCCAATGGAGAAAATATCTGTGCAGATAGACATATGGCTTATACAATTGTTACAAAGAGAGTAATAAGAAATCTTATACAAATAAAAGGAATTTTGCAGTAAAATAGCATAAAAGCAAATAGTATAAACATTGGATACTGAATTTTTTATGTAATTTTATTATTAATTTTAATACAATAGTAATTACTATATAAATAGTAATAGTATTACTATAGTATTATTATATAGTAAAGTTGGAAGGGACCTTGGAGGTCATCTAGTCCAACCCCCTGCTCAGGCAGGAAACCCTACACCATTTCGGACAAATGGCTGTCCAGTCTTTGTATTCCTTGTAAGCCTGTATTTTTTTCTTCTCTTTAGAATCTTTACTTCTCTCCAGTATCTGGTTTCTAAAATCATCACTTATCTTTGTTATGGTTTACAATACCCAGAATAGCCAAAATAAATCTATTTCCTACCAAAAGCTATTTTTATAGTTAATTCTAAGATCTTAAAATAAAAGTAAGAACTGAAAATTTATCTAGCCTGTTAGTCCATTTAAAACATTCTTTGATCAAAATCTTATTTAGTTTTCTTATTTATTTCAAATGCTTTCTTAAGTTTATAATTATTTTTTCTTTTATTCAGAGTGGAAGATAAACTTATCCAATAAAGACTTTTCAAATTTATCATTCTGAAGGTCTCTAATAAAGCTATTAGAAAGCCATTTCTGAAAGTGATTAGAGAATAAGATTTGCAAACTTTAAAAGGATCTGCCATGGTTGAGAGCAAGATGGCTATTCCCGTCATCTCCCAGTGATCAAATCCATGGATAACCACTGTCCTATGGTCTCCTTAAAGGGTGGAGAAATCTGGAGCACATGTGAGGGGCATCCCATCTTCTACTTTTCTAGAAAAGTTCCAAGGAATCAGTCTACTCACTAGTTCCTTGATCTTTGCCATGGTCATTGGGTCTGCTTTTGCGGAGCTATCTTTGGTTTGCCATACCCCACCCCCAGAAGTCCAAATACTGGATACTGATTTGGAGGAGAAGCAATAAATTAAACTAAAAATTAAATATGTAATTGCCAAAGTAAGTATACAATTCCAAATCATAGTTTAATGTTACTGTATATGTATACATGAAAACAAGTCTACAGAAATGATTGATCTGATTTCACTTTGCTGGATTTCTGATTTATTATTTTGTGCAAATCAGGAATAAGCATTTAAAATAATATATGGTTTCTACACAGGCCAGCTAACCAATCTACAATTTTTTACAGTTTTATTAACCAATTGATTTTAATTTATTCTACAAATGATATGTAATTCACGTGCACAAAAAAGCAAAGCACCAGATAAAGAACTGAAACCTGATTTATTCTTCCACTGAAACCAAGAGAGCAAGGGAACATTAACTGGGCTCTGTGCTGCTCAGGCACAGAATGCCAGGTGTTGTTGCCCACAAGCTCTCTTCTAATATCTACCAAACAATGTCAATATAGACAAATATGTTTATTTAAAAAAACAAATTTAATGACAATAAACTATCTTTGGGAAACATATTTTACCAAATGTTTAATATTCTAAACTGATCAGTGTCTTTTAATTCATTTTTAATTGTTTCCTGCTTCCATTTAATATAGTTTGGGACATTACTCTCTTGGACAAACATTTGTCTGGGATAGTATAAGGATTCCTGCCTTGGGTTTGGAGTAGAAGACTTCGTAGGTCCCTTCCAAACCTATGATTCTATACTTCAACTGCTATTTAATTTGGTTGGCTGTGATTCAGTTTACTGATTTATGATATCTTCATGATGACATATCACTGTGACCTCATCCATATAATTTGCAGGATTCAATGAATATCAATGGAGATAAATGTGGCCTAGGTCAACGAGGTAAAAAAACCCACAAATGGCAGAAAGAAAAGCAGAAGGGAAGTATGCTAAGCAATTTAAATATATATTCAGTATAATTCTAATGTATATCAAAAATTAGGCAATACAAAACTTAGATAAACTTTCAATTCAAACTTATTTAAAATTAAGTCTATAAATACCAATAGAAGAAAATCTTTGTAGCTCAGTATTGAACTTTGGAGTCCTTGATGCTCTCTGAGCTTGATTGTTTGATTACAGAGGTTTTGTTACCAAACTAAGTAACATGATCAGTACTAGAAGGGAGTGAGGTTTGCTCTCATTTTATGTACTAGTGGCTTGCCCTATCAGCACTGGTGGGAGTGGTCTTAGTGGTTCCCTGATTAGACTGTTCTTTAACTGTTAACTTGTTTGTCAGACAAACAAGTGTAGTGTATTTAACATTAAAATAATAATATACATTCATGTCTTCGTATCTAAACAAGATACATCTATCTGCAATATTTAGGAATTTTATTTTAAAGTCTTTAAATGAGCCATATTACAATGTTCATATTGGAAACCTAAAAGAGAAAAAGATTATCAGATAAACTCAAATGAAATAATATGTATTTATGACTACTCACCTGAGGTCTTATAACTTTTACTATATTTTTCAGTGCAGTATCTGGTGATGGAGGAGAGCAGTCAGGTGTTGGCCCTGTTGAACTGTTTCTATGGTTACCGGTACCTGGTGCAGTAATTGCTACTTGAGGTGCATTATCTATGAATAAAAATAGTGTTCTGGTGATTATACATTATTACACAGAATATACTGTGAAAACAGGAAATGGCTTTAAAAACAAATGATTCAGTATTTTATAATTTGTTATAATTATTAGATTTATAATCCATATTGTTTGCATTCAGGTTGAAATATTCATTTATTGTTTTCTACAAAGCCTGTCACTGATCACAGCTAATGCTTAGCATTTCAATGCTGGAAACTATTCACGTGCAGAAATGGTTTTATGTTCATAGGTTGCTTGTCAAGACTAGAGGGGAAACTGGAAGTGTGACAGGGAAAAGTATTTAGCATTTAGTAATATTAGTATGATATTCTGCTTAAAAATGGATAGATGGTTAAAAATTATAGTTCTTCTGTATAAGAATGCAGAAATATACTAAAGACTTTCTAAGTTCCAACAAGTGATATTAATTAACTAGTGGGAAAAATAGCTCATCCATTAGGACCTTTCTCAACCTCATTCACCAGGATGTGAATTGGTGACTGGACTGCCCCACCAGCCAATTTAATGACCTTTTAAAAAATCATCACTATCACCATTCAAATGAACATAAGAGTCAAATTAACTTTCTAGATATGATCTTAAGTGGGAATTTTATACAGAGGAATATAGCCTGGATGTAACTACTGACTCTAAACTAAGATACATAAAAGCTTTTTTTAAGTATTTGTATATACTTAGATACTTAATTCATACTTAATTTGTATATACATATAGGCAAATGAGCAGGAACTTTGTGCAGATCCTCCTTGATGCAGTTCTTGCTCACTCCACTCATGTCCTTGTTAATTCTCATTTGGACTATTGCAGCATTCTATGCATGAGGCTGTCCTTAAATACTACCTGCAAGCTACAGCTATTTAGAATGCTGGATAACAACTTAGACATGGCTTTTCCAACAAGTAGGATTGGCCTAGGGAATTTTAGTGGGGTTTTTAAGGGAAATTTTAATTATTAGGCCATTACAAATATTTCCTTTTAATCTGGTTTTAAATCGATATTTATTGTAATATGGGTTTTATAAGGCTGTCAGCCGCCCTGAGTCCGGTAAGGAGAAGGGCGGGGTACAAATCAAATAAATAAATAAATAAATAAATAAACTTAAATGAGTTTCAGCTGGATTTTATGTATGTACAATTCTTTTATCCTTCTTGATATTGAGGCATTATGACACGTGATTGCTCAGAAATCAGTGCTTTCTCATTTACTGTAGTAGAAAAAACCTGTTTCAATTATACTGACATTTTTGGATAATATCTAAGAGCAGAACCTGCAAGGAGTTTATAAATTGGGCCTATATGCCATTATACAGTTAAAGACTGCATCTAATTTTTACTATGTTTTTGGTTTTAATATTTTTGAATTTTAATGACTTTGGTTTAAATATTTTCATTATACATAGATGTGATTTTATAAATCTTCCAGAGTTTGGTACAAGATGAGCAGCTATATACATATTTTAAATAAATAAAAGACATTTCTTTCCCAAATTATATTCTTCTAAAATATGAAATAGGAGAAGCTATCACAATTATAAAAAGTAGTATTGCAAAAAATAAAAATAAAGAAAACATCCAGAACAGTGTCAAGATTACTCTTAACGCACAGTTTATTATATGAGGAAAAAATAGCATATATATAGTAGTCAAACACTGAAATTCAGTCACCTCCTCATTGGTCCTCATTTGTTCACCCCAGGAAAAAATCTTGAAAGTTTATATACTTTGGTCTGGACTGTTCTAGAAACAGGAATGAAGGTATCACAGAACAATGGAAACTGAAATGCTGACAGAAAAAAAGCATTGCAAGCTGTATTGGAGAGGAAGAAAATGGAAACCAGTCTTTTTTCCACAGGAATTCAAAACTATAAAATATTTTTGGAAGTTAATCTTTCAAAAGGGTGCAGACATCTGGCTGGATATCCACTGAGGGCTAATACAACTTTGACTGGATTGATATGTGTCTCAAGAAAGCTAGGAATGCTCTCTTTTAGTTTCAAATATATATTAGGACCATATTTGGGAGTGGCATGAATTTGTTAAGCACTAAAACAGCCTCGGGTTAGGCAGCTAAAAGCAGCACTAGATAGCCATATAACTTTTTGTTGTGGCTTACTCTTTCTCACAAGGAGATGGTCTGGAGAAATTGGAACAATAAATATCCTTCTCTCTAAATGCCAAATTTATTAGCAAATACAACTCAGCTGGACCTGTCCTTAATGCTTGTTAGTGCTTCCTGCACAGACAAGCATTAAGTAATAACGTTCCTGCATATTTCTCAAAATCAGCTAATAGTATCAACAAAAAAGTAGGTAGCACAAACAGCAATACTTATAAGATCAAAACCAGTAAAACACCTATTTTTGATGAAACTCCTCTTGTTATTTCTAAAGAACAAGGTTTCTTTGTAACTGTTGTATCAAGAAAATCACAGAGACCATTCTCATTTTCTACAGGAAATGTTTCTGAAGAAACAGATGGCACTGCTTCCAGTGTAGCACTCCTCTTCTTTGGAAAGGCTTCCTGAAAAATAGAAATAGAATTATATAATAGAGTTGCCCTTGTAGAGGACAGAAAATAAAACTATTTAAAATGGTCATACCAATATAACACTATCATACTTACCTGAAAGTCAATTAAAACAATTATAAGGATTAAAGATTAAAGTTAGTTTTTAGAGCTCCTCAAATACATCTTTGAAACAAAAATGTATTTAAAACGCTATCCACGAATGCATCTTAATAATAAAAATTACTATTAAATCATTATTATTTGCAAAAATATATATGTAAATAAAGAACAATTGCAACCAGCTTGCCTTCCATAAAAGACCTGTATATTGTGTGGGTCAGAAGGAGAACTGTGAAGACCCCTCACATCTAGGACATAAACTGTTTCAACTCCTCCCCTCAGAACAGCTCTACAGGGTATTGCATGCCAAAACAACTAGACACACAAAAAATATTTTTCCCCGTGCCATCACTGTGCTGAATACCTAATTCTTACAGTGCTGTCTAATGTCTATGTATATTACCCATATAGTGTGGTTGTATCATTATTTATCTTTCTTATTATCTTCTTTACTCCCCGCTTTTATTGAGGAAATGATGATGATGATGATGATGATGATGATGATGATGATGATGATAATGATGATTCTGTTGTTTTGCATATAAAGTAAGTGTTTCTGTATTGAAAATACATTCCTTGTGTGTCAAATCATACTTGGCCAAATAAAATTTAATTCAATTCAGTTCAATTCAATTCAAATATCACTGCCTCAACAAGCTATGGACATTTTGCATTTCTTAGAGAATGTGTAAGGGACATTGTCTTCAAATCTTTCAGAACTTTTTCTATTTCCATGTAGAAAGTTATCTTATTATATACCTAGCTCATATAAATGGAAATTCTATATGTTCTATATATATATAGAATTATATGGCCCATTTAAAGTTGTTATGTTCTCTTTTTAGCTCATATAATTTTCAGAGCCTCACAAGGCTTTATCTGCCACTTAACCGATTTATCATCAGCTGGGCATCTGGAAATATAGATCACTTTTCTACATCTTCTGCTATTAATAATAGCAAAATAATAATACTAATACTTTCACTAATAATAATAGCAAAAGAGAAAAATGAACAGTTATATCCTACTTTCCTTTCCGTCTTTAGCAAGATTGCCGCTTCTCAGCTAAAGCATGATCTTGAAAGGTTTGCATAGGGTTGGATGAGAGGAGAAAGAAAAGAACTTCAACAGAATGAATTTGGCACTATCATTTTTCAGGCTGCAAATTCTGAAAAAAATCATATTGGAACAAATGAAACTCTTCACAAAAGAAGGTTGTACTGTCCTACATATTCATGCTGGAAAAAGAGATTTAATGCATTTTCAAGAATATATTAATTGTTGTTTCATAATTGAGTAATATATTGAAACTCAAATTCTGACATTCATTGGTCTAATTTTAGTCTCAACTAGGGATGATTCAGTTTTCAAATTCTACAAACTAATCTGAAATGCCAAAGCTATCTGAAGAAAAGAAATATGTTACCATATATCAGTTACTTGGCAAGAAATAATTGAAACTAGTTCTATCTTAGAAATAGTAGAAAGTTCCCAAAAATGTACTTAATATTAAAAGTGTCATATTAATAGTGCACATAAAAAAACAATAGTAGACTGTAATCAGAGTTGTGCAGGGGGGGGGGGCTAGAATCTGATATTGGTACCAAACAGCAGAGCTGCTTTCCCTGATAGTAAGCTCACAGTGATGATAGGCATAGAGAAATATTGCAAGAGATAGGAATAGACCACTGGTTGTCTTCTCCCCTCTAACAATATCCATAATTCCCAATTCTTTCCCCTCCCCTCTCAAGGGCCCCATTATACTCATCACATTACCAGCAAATAAGGCCAGCTCTAACACTCAACACCCAGCAGGCACCTAGCTCATGTAGTTGCAACTTTCCATCAACTTAGCTCACCATCAGCACCCTGCTGTCAGCATGTAAATACAAGGAGAGAAGGAAGAAAATAGTGCATTCTCACATCTCCTTAATCCAATCAAAGCCCCCACCCTACTGTCTCTCACCTGAAAAAGGGCAAAAGGCCCAAGACCCCTCCCAACACTCCTTCACAACCCTTCCCATGCCAAGAGCTGTGGTGGCGTAGTGGTTAGAATGCAGTATTGCAGGCTAATTCTGCCGACTACTAGGAGTTCAATTCTGATTGGCTCAAGGTTGTCTCAGCCTTCCATCCTTCTGAGGTCAGTAAAATCAGGACCCAGATTGTTGGGAGCAATATGCTGACTCTGTAAACTGCTTAGAGAGGGCTATAAAGCACCATGAAGTGGTATATACAGTGGTGGGGGAAATTATTTGCCCACTGACAAAGAAATGATCAGTCTATAATTTAATGGTAGGTTTATTTTAACAGTGAGAGATAGAATAACAACAACAAAAAATCCAGATTCAGCTTCCTCCACAGATTTTCTATGGGATTAAGGTCTGGAGACTGGCTAGGACACTCCAGGACCTTAATGTGCTTCTTCTTGAGCCACTCCTTTGTTGCTCTGGCCATGTGTTTTGGGTCATTGCCATACTGGAATACCCATCCACGACCCATTTTCAATGCCCTGGCTGAGGGAAGGAGGTTCTCACCCAAGATTTGATGGTACATGGCCCCGTCCATTGTCCTTTGATGCGGTGAAGTTGTCCTGTCCTCTTAGCAGAAAAGCACCCCCAAAGTATAATGTTTCCACCTCCATGTTTGACGGTGGGGATGGTGTTCTTGGGGTCATAGGCAGTATTCCTTCTCCAAAATGGCGAGTTGAGTTGATACCAAAGAGCTCGATTTTGGTCTCACCTGACCACAACACTTTCACCCAATTCTCCTCTGAATCATTCAGATGTTCATTGGCAAACTTCAGACGGGCCTGTAATGTGCTTTCTTGAGCAGGGGGACCTTATGGGTGTTGCAGGATTTCAGTCCTTCACGGCGTAGTGTGTTACAAATTGTTCTCTTGGGGACTATGGTCCCAGTTGCCTTGAGATCATTGACAAGATCCTCCTGTGTAGTTCTGGGCTGATTCCTCACCATTCTCATGATCATTGAAACTCCACAAGGTGAGATCTTGCATGGAGCCCCAGACCGAGGGAGATTGACAGTTATTTTGTGTTTCTTCCATTTGTGAATAATTGCACCAACTGTTGTCACCTTCTCACCAAGCTACTTGGCGATAGTCTTGTAGCCCATTCCAGCCTTGTGTAGGTCTATAATCTTGTTCCTGACATCCTTGGACAGCTCTTTGGTCTTGGCCATGGTAGAGAATTTGGAATCTGATTGATTGGACAGGGTCTTTTATACAGGTAACAAGCTGTGATTAGGATCACTCCCTTTAAGAGAGTGCTCCTAAGCTTGGTGCCTGTATAAAAGACACCTAGGAGCCAGAAATCTTGCTGATTGATAGGGGATCAAATACTTATTTCACTCATTAAAATGCAAATCAATTTATAACTTTTTTGAAATGTGTTTTTCTGGATTGTTTTTGTTGTTATTCTATCTCTCACTGTTAAAATAAACCTACCATTAAAATTACAGAGTGATCATTTCTTTGTCAGTGGGCAAACATGCAAAATCAGCAAGGGGGGGGGAATCAAATAATTTTCCGCCCACTGTAAGTCTAAGTGCTATTGCTATTGCTAAAATGCTAGTGTAGGTCCTCCAGTCCAGGATCTTTCTCCTGTTTCAGAGACAAAACAGCTGTGACAACAGAATTGCCACAAACTGTAGTCATTACATGGCTAATTGTTGTCCATGGACAGTTCCTAGGACAGGGCAAGAAAAAAAATGACAAAAAGAAAAGCCAAGGTGGCTGCTGTCACATGTGACTGGCCATATGGCAACTGCAGGAAGCAGGCCAGTTCTTTCACATGACTACTAACCAACTTCTGCTTCTGATGCTGTTCCTCCCCCAGGAATCTAAAGATCTCATCAGAGAGAATATTATGCCACTTTTGCCACTAAGATGTTCCCATATCAGTCTAAAATACATTAACTGATTGACTATGAGCCATCAAACTGGTGTCAACTCACGTATATTTTTTTCATGATAATCTGTCCCTCTTCTGGTCTTACAGGTCTTCTAGTTGTGTACTTACTGTCACTATACCTGAGCCCATCCACCCTGTTGCTGATCATCCCTTTTCTTCTTTCCTTTCACCTTTACCAAAATTAGAGTCTTTTATCAAAAGCTAAGTCTAAAGTAGAATAATTTGACCCTGATCATTTTTCCTTAAGAACAAATTAGGTGATTTGTTTGATGATCAATTTGTTTGTTTTCTTGGTTGTCAACAGTATTCTCAGGATTCTTCTCCAAAATCAAAGTTTAAAACCATCAGTAATATTCTTATCTTGCTTCTTCAAAGTCCAGCTTTGGTCCTATAGAGTGTCACAAAGAATACCATTGCTTGCTCTTTTCTGATCTTTGTAGGTATAGATCAGGGCTTTTCAACCTTTTCACCCATTGTACCACTTTTAGGATATGGCAACATCTGAGTACCACCAGTTGCCTAGCAAGGTGTCAAAAACTTGATGACCCCCCCCCAAAAAGGAAAAAAGTGATAAAGTACAGGTAGCCCTCAACTTACAACAGTTCGCTTAGTGACTGTTCAAAGTTACAATGGCACTGAAAAAAGTGCCCCCCAAGCCACAGCCGAGCAAGACACCTGCCTGCCCGCCCGGCGGCGCTCTTCCTCCCGTCCAAGGTTTTCATTGTTGTGAGCATTTCTGTTGAGGATTGGCAGCGGGGGTGGGGTGGGGAGGTGTTTGATTTTTATTCCCATCTGCTGGGTGGTTGCAGCAGGTTTTGGTCACTTCACATGATCCTGGGACACTGTGACCATCATAAATATGAATCACTTGCCAAGCATCTGAATGTAAATCACCTGGAGATGCTGCAACATTCCAGCTGATTGGCACTTCTGGGCTCAGCAGAAGTGCCAGGATCAGCGCCGAGC